TTTCACAAAAAATTCATATTTGATTTTTTTTTCAAATTTGAGAAGAGGATCAATTTGATTTTAATATTTTCTCTCCAATTATTTTCAACAATAAAAATAAATGAGAGAAGATTATATAACTTCTTCAACAGAAGAGAAATATTGGAGAAGAAATTTTAAAATCAAATTATTATTTTATTTGTATTTTATTTGCTATTTTATTTGAATTAGAGAAAAACGTGCATTTTTTAAAATTACATTTTAGTCCAGAAAAATGTTCATCTTATCCTAAATATTAGGTTTGGACGGTGAAAATTGTTTCTGGAATTTTTAGAATTTTTTTATATTTTATTAGGATTTTTGTTTGCGGCGAAATTATTTAAAAAAACAGTCTCGAGCCGAACTGGGCCGAAGGCCCAGCCGGCCCCCTAGCGCCGGCGCCTTCCCCGCGCGGAAGTCCGACCCCGCGCCGGAGTCGAGCCGCCGTCGGAGTCCTCTTGGACTCCAGGTCGCCGCCGCACCCCCTCCCCCAAGCAAGCCCCTCCCCCCTTGACCCCGTTATAAGGGCCGGACCCGACCCCCTCCTCTCCTTGTATCACAGCCGCCGCTCGCAGCCCTGTCGCTCACGCCTCTGCCGAACCAAGCCGCCCCCGCCGCCCTAGTTCATGCCGCCGCCGGCCCGCACCGTCGCCCGCGTCACCGCCTCGCCTCGCCGTCGCCCGACGCCGTCGGTCAATCCCGGCTAAATGGTATAAAACCATTCAGGTTTTTCGGTTTTATTTTTTTAGATCGGTTTTTCTTTTTTGTTTTAGTTTATTTAGTAAACGTTCACTGGTTAGATCGTTTTAATGAACTTTTTCGTTCGTTTAATTCTGTTAACGAACGTTCGTTCCGTAGATTTTTCTTTTTAGTTTTATTTCGGCCAGGGACCTATACGCAAATAGTTTTCTCGCGATTTATCCCTTGATCTTAAAACTAGCGTAACTTTAGCTCGTTTGTCCAAATTAGTTGAAACCAGTGCCTAAATCTTCGTAACGATCCTTCTTTCCAGTTAACCAACTTGAACATGATTTTGACAATTTAAAATTTGAGTTAGTTCAGATTAGTAAACGGTCTTGTTTCGTTTGTATCTTGAGTTTCATAACTCTATTTGAGTCGTTTCTTTTTGCAAATTGTAGCTAATCACATGTACATACTGTTAAGATCTAATCCACATGAAAATAATGCTGTTTGGTTTTGTTTTCTATTTTAGTTTAGTCGTTTGCTTGTTTCCAGTTTTATTTGGATCTTTTCTCGATTTCTCTCTGTTTCGTTTGAGTGATTGCTTATGTATGCTACTGTTTGTCTATGCTAGATTACCCGGAGTGCGAAGCTTGTTACTACGAATCTCTAGAGTTTGCAGATCGTCAGCAAGGCAAGTAACACTTTGATCATACTTTTCTATACCCAGTTTTTACTATGCATTAGTTATGCCCCTCAAATATTTGCATCAGTAGGACTGGGAACATGTGGTTTAGTTGTAGTACTTGAGGTAGGAACCTAATACCTTTTGATCACCCTGGGAATATATGGTATGCTCTTTTATTGCTTAGCCATGCTCGTAGACGGGGATTGGATCGTGATTCACATGGAAGTTATGAGAGTTATTAATTTTGGATAACATTAAGGTGACAACTTTAATACACATCTGGGTGGATTGGTTGGGGCACCTGGAGAATCCAGTGTTTGTCCATTTTGGGAAATCCCGGAGTACCCGTGTGATTTTTCCTTGGTTCGCCACCCAGGCTCAAATGGATCATATGATATTTCATGCCTAGAAACTTTCGTGTGCAGCCAAAAGCCATTATGGGCTCTGACATAGTTGAGTAAGTTGTATGAGCTCTCAAAGAGGTGGACTAGAAGATGTAGGGGAAAGTAGGTGTACCGGTCTGCCCGAAGTAGAGAGTTAATGCTTCAAAAAGACTATGTCTCGATCATCCGATCTTGGATGCGGTCGAGTCTTGTGGGGAAAAGTGCACAACCTCTGCAGAGTGTATAAACTAATCATGATTAGTCGTGTCTCCGGTTATGGACATTTTGAGTATCTGGAATTGAATATTATTGTTGATCTTATCACTCTTTAATTAATTGAATTGGGTTTAATGATGATACTTGTTTATCTGGGATTTGAGTTGGAGGAACCTTCTCAAATATTGGAACAACTTGGGAGCAGTTTAAATAAATGTATTCCTTTGTTGTAGGAAAAATTGGCTTTATGCAAAATCATAAACTTAGAGCCTCCACCAGCCAAATATTGCATGTAGATATAGTTCTTGCATTCATTGTCTTACAGTGTAACTCTGCCAGCATATTCAATGTGCTGACCTACACGGCTGCAATGTCTCATATTGCAGACTACTTAAACGACGAATAAGGTGCGATAGGTCGTTGTCTTGCACTCAGCTATGCCGTTGGAGTTGATGGACTCATTTACCTTCGAAGCTTCCGCAGTTATTTAGTTTAGATGGCCTTCAGCCATGATATTTTTGTGTAATCATACTCTTTATGAGGACTCGATGTAATAAGTGTGTGATTGAACTCTGCTATAATTTCTCGAGTACTGTGTGTCAGCATTACCGATCCAGAGATGACACTTAAGTACAGAGACTTCAATCAATTGGGATCGTGATCGCTACAGACTTAAAAGAAGTTTAAGAGAAAGCTAGAACTTAAATTATATTGAAACGGAGGAAGTGGTATTTACGAGCATAAATTATGTTGGCCATAACATCCATGTGGACATGTATGGATCAGCGAGCAAAGGTCTAATGAATTCTGCACAGTTTTAATAGTTGGATGGTGTACACGCAACAAGAGTAAAGGCCCTGACACAAACTTTATTGTCTACAATGATATAGAAAAAACTTATTGCCTACTAGTACAATGCATGATGATAATATTTTGGGCAGCGCTAGGCGCCGGCGCACCGGCCCAATCTTTCGGCCGGTCGGCCCTTAGCCGTCTGATTGCTATTCGTGGAACTGTTCGATGCATCCCAGATTCGTCTCCTTCCTCTCCCTCCATCCCGCTGGGTCAACGCTGGCGCTTCTCTTTCTCCCCCGCTCACCTCCGCCCATCTCAGATAGTCACGTGTGCCGTCCAGCACGCCTAGCCCCCGGTCGGTTACAGCCCCGCCACCTATCGCCGCGCGGCCGTCGAGGATTGCAGCACGGATGCGATTGGGGGCTCGAGCTTCTGCTCTTTGCGATTGCAGCTCATCTTCTGCTCTTTGTGATTGCAGCTCTAACCCATGGTTCCGGCGCGTGGTGCCGTGATTGCAGTACTTCCGACGACCATCCACATCTGGTTTGCCGTCGCTGGCTTTCACCACCCGTGGTCAGCCAAAAAGAACAAATCTCGGGAACAAAAAAATGGCGTCGCTGGTAGTAACAAATCACAAACACAGTTCCAACAAAACACATCGCAGGTTCCAGCAAAAATTATGCCTCTGTCACCAGCGGTCCGCAAATAAACATCAAGACGATCCAGCAAAAACTTACCTGTTGTAGCAAAAAAAGATTACTGTTTCAGCAAAGATAAAATGTGGTTCCAACAAAAATCACTCAGCAGGGAGACTCTCAGTGGTTCGATTGTAGCAAAACAAAAAAGAATGTAGCAAAAAAGATTGCTACTTCCAGCGAAAATAAGCACTGGTACCAACAAATAAACTCAAACAACCGGACTCTAGTTGTACGATTGTAGCAAATAAAAAAACTAGTTCCAGCAAAATCAATTGCCGGTTCCAGCAAAAAACGCCACCCAATTAATGATCTGTAGCAAAATCTGTAGCCGGTTCCAGCAAAAATCACCACCGGTACCAGCAAGAAAGAAAAGCGATTGTAGCACTAGTGCCGCCTGCAAAAACGCCATGTGATTGTAGCTCTGACCATGGCCGGTTCCAGCATCTACCCATGCTGGTTCCAGCACCGCGCGAGACCGGTTCCAGCACAGCTCTCGTTGGCCATAGCATCCCGTCGGACTTGCAGCATGAGTGCGTGGGCTCTCTGTCGTTGGTCGCAGCAACACCGCTCACCGGTTCGGCATGCCGCCTGCCTCCCCGGGTCACCATCATTCCAGCTCCTCCCACCCCGTCAGTGCGCCGATTAGTGCTGCTCAGAAGCTCGCCGGAGACGTGGTCGTCCCCAGCAGCACCGACGTGATAGCTTGCATCACAGGCGATGCCTCCCCTCCTCACGATCGGAGCCGGTGTAGAGCTAGAGGATTTGGGAGCGGAAGCTGGCTGGTGTGGAAAAAGGAAAAGAAGGAAAGCGAATGGAGCGGATGGGGTTTGACTGTGAAGAGATAAGGGAGAGAAGAAGGTGGGCGGTGCGTGGGCCCGTTGATGCGTCCGACGCAACATCTGTGGTCCACAGCCAGGCGTGCCAGCAAGCGCGACCGCCCGAGCACTCGGGCGGACGTAAGGTGCGAAACATTTTCTAAGGGATTAGGCACGGGATAGATTTTTTTTCCGTGGGGCCACTGCTCGCTGGTTCGCGCGTGGGAGACGACCGGCTCAAGCTTCAGCCGGTCCGCCGGCCCGAAACGTTTCCCTAATATTTTTCAATAAAGAGAGGCTTCTATATTAATTTCACACACGCACACACACAGACGAAATTCAGCAGTAACCACCGGTGTGTCTAAAGACTACAGAAGAAGAGGTCCTTCAGATACACTCCACAATCTAGACAGCAATGTTACCGCCGTAGTCAAAAAAACCAAGAGTGCACTAGCATTCTGAGACCAAGCTATTATTCTTCACTAACCAGGTATCACAGAAAGAAAAGCCACTCCAAGAAGGAGAACACTAGAACATTGAAGAAGAAGCGTGAAATGAAAATGGCACCAAAGTCAGTAACATATTCATGCATCAGAGTTCTTGTGAGAAGTTGAAACCAAGGTAACACCGAAGCAGCGGCATATTGATACAACAGAGTTCTAATCAGACGCATGAAATGGCTGCGCAAAATAAAAGCCTGCTAAGATCATGACTTCCCTCCATGCTTGCTAGTGTTGGACATCTGATGACTCCATTCATTACTTGCTGCCGACAGATCTTTCACTGGGTCATGCATGCTCGCAGTGGCAGTACACATTGTTCTCCTCGACCTGCGCAAGAAGCCAGAAACAAACTGTAAGCATGAGCTCGACGCGGAAAACAGTGGCAACGTAGAAACTCGATTCTCAAGGATAAATATGTTTCTAGGTTTGATAATGTAAGAGAAATCCACCATGCATATTTGTATAGACGTGTCATGTTTTGAGTTTTAGATCAGAGGAGGCAAGGTCTGCGTGCCGCTTCCTTTCGATTCCACATGCTGCTTCCTTTCTGAGTTAAAACCGCACTAAAAGGAATCTCGAAATTTCACATGAGCAATTCAAATTTAGTTGTGTCAGTTGTGTTGTTTCAGCCACCTAGTCATCATGCCCTGCAGCGACACAAACACTGTCCTATTTTACTGAGCAGGATAAATACCAAATAGTCGTCTCCCCTTTAGGGTGGCTGAACATATTTTTGAAATGAAGTGTTTTCCTGTCTGACTTTTCATTAACACACAGAGTTCAGCAGAGCACACTGGATGTCTAAACAGAATATGCATGACTCTAACAAATGGTAATAAGTAACATTTTGATGCCTTAAATGATTAAAGATAAGCTAATGCTTAAGGCAAAAGCAGTGACCGCGACACATGTGACTGCCACAAGCCCACAACTGAAACACAAAATCTGATGCTCCAACAAGGATCCATGACATGCACATATAAAAAAATACACAACAGAATCAGCAAGATGCATCTACCAAGGCTGTAACAAGTTCATAATCACCGACACCATACCTGTATGTCAGATGGACCCGCTTGAGTTTCTTTACATTGTCCAAGATACAGTCAACACACTCCCCAAGAGTGGCCTTCCTCCCTTCCTTATAGTTCCATAGATCGAAGGCATCACCTGTTCCATCAGTGTTGTACTCTTTCCTCTCAACCAATGCACTAACGACAGCATTGTAGGGGCCTTCTCCCCATGCCATCTTCAGTCCTTGCAACTTATCATCATCAACATCTATGACCTCCTCCTAGTCACGTAAGGCACGCAAAATCTGTTAACCTTAAGAATTGATGAAGCACATGCTGCAAGTTACAACGATCGGTAAAAGAGTTACCTGATGATTGCCATCAACTATAACAGACTTGAAGGGTTTCCAATTTGGACTATCGAGTAGTTCCTGCCACAGTGCGTACAGTTCAGAAGATTTCGCACCAGCATATTTAGGAGCCAGCTTGACAGCACAAGCATCCCGGAATGGCTTCTCATTTAATTTCCCCATTTTCTTTATCCCAATTGACTGTCCAGCATCAATTTCAGAGAACCCCTGAAATATCAATTTGGATATAACATCAATCGATCAGCTCTCACGCACCTCAAATTTACAAATTTAACACCTATATATGTAACGTATATGCATATGCTCACTGCAAGATCACGGATCTAGAATGAATGCAGTATTCAGTTCAAGTTTGTATGAGAAAACCTTGATCAGCTTTTGTCTGACAACCTCCTGATCGTCATCTCTGCCTGAATGCTGGCCAGCGGTTGGGTTATTTGGCACCTGCGGATAGGACCTCTGTTTTTTACAACGATGTCTGTCTGTGTCATTGTCCGATGATCCTTGGAGCAGGATAGCCCGTTTATGTGATAATCTTGTTACCTGCTTACACAGAGAGACTCCTATAATCATAAACATAGACCAACAAGAAAAAATACTGAACATGAGGCTATTCTATCAAGGATAGAGAATCATCTTAGAAGTTTGACAATGTTTAAGAATGAAAAAACTACATAAATAAAACAGAGGAAATTCTATGCTCCATGATTGTTCATTGCATTTATGCCACTGATTGCAAACAAGAGAGATATTTCATCGGCTTTGGTAGAATACTAGCGAAAAAACTAAACACATGGAAAGGTTCAGAGGTAGTCAGTTTATAGAGTAATAGAAAACCATTAAGGTGTTAGTGCATCTAGAAAATGAAGAATTAAGTCAGAAGCTCCAAATTCTAAATAGTTGTGGTGAATGGCTGATGATGTTGCAAGATTAAAATTATGAGGACATCGAAGCTCCAAATTCTAAATAGTTGTGGTAAATGGCTTTTAGTGTTTACCATTTTGGAACGAGCAGGCTTAGAAGCACTTCCAATTTGTTGCTCATGTTGAGTGTGCATGGCTTCACTCTCCTGAAGCTTCTTCCTTAGAACCTTCAGCTCTTTGTTCTTCTGAGCAAGTTGCTCTTTTGCCACAGCAAGCTCCTCCTTTGCTGCCACATGCTCATGTTTTACTTCTTCAAGCTCCTTCTTTACCATTTCAAGCTGCTCCGCCATTGGTGCCACCAGCTCATTAATCACTGCCACCAAATGAGTGCAACATCAAACATCAGGATCCTAACAAAACTAGTTTAGAATCAGAACTCAAACAACATGAAAGTTCACAGACCATCATGATCATGCTGGAGTTTTTCCTTTTCTTCCACGATCTTATCAATAGTATTCAGGAATTCGGTGTTCTCAGCCAAGAGCTTATTCTTTTCTTGTACAACTTTATCAACCATAGTCTTGATATCCAGGTACTCGACAGTGGCATCCCTATGGTAGTATATCTTGGATTCAAGCTTTGAAGTCAAAGCATCAATAGACACATTCCTTCCTCTGCTGTCTGCCATGTAGCCTGCAAGTTCATGGCTAACAGAATATCACAAACATAGTCACCTTACACCACATTATACTACCAATGCTAGTGTTGCTGTGGTGGTTACCTGTGGCTTAGTTTGTAACTAAAAATGCTTCTATGAACCAAAATAGCTCATTGATAGTATGCATTATGAACATAGTAACAGAATGGATAAGAAACACCCATAATAGGAAAATAAGCATAAGACACCCCACTCATTTAAGTTCATAAATCGCCACCCTTGGCATGTTCCTCATTTTCAGCTCACACAATTTATGATTGGGAAAACACAGGAAACAGACACACAAGTGTTATATCATCCAAGGTGAAGGAACAGCCATGCGCTCATGCAATCCAAGATGATGAGGAAAAAGCCCCACCTTTACAGATGGTTCAACCAAGATGCTGCCTCCACAACTTCCGGCCCGGCCTCAAACTGATCTGCAGAGGGGAACAATCGATTAGGTGACTGAAAGACTGAAGGGGTTTAGGGCTTTAGGCAACACAAAAACTGAATTTCGAATCTACGAACAAAACAGGATGGGGATGATCCAGGAAGAAAGCCAGGAGACAGAGCAACAACACATTTCCTCCAACTTCCGAAAAGGACACACAAAAAAGGTTGCAAGATCGGAAACTGTTCTTCCGCTTCCGATTCCGAAATAAGAGAGTTAAAAACACAAGTTACGGAATAAATATTTGTTCGGAACCTGCAAAAAGAGACCAAATTGCGCGGGGGGAAGGACTGGTTAATGGGGAAACACTCTGCTCCTTTCCCCACCTCCAAGAAAGAAAGAAGAACAACACAAGAAGTGGGAAACTTTGACGAACCGAGAGCAAAGGCTCTTGGCACACAGACAAGAAACTCCCTTCAACCCTGTCAGGAATCCACAAAGAATCGTCCACGGAGGCTCGAGCACAAACAAGAACACGGAGGCAACGAGAATACACATGGAGGGGGGAAAAATCTTTACCCTCCTCTAGAACTGCGAACTGTAGAGGGAATCAGAGAACGAACGGGAATAGCAATGGGAGGGGAAAGTGAATGCGGTACCGGAGCTTCGGGGCTTTTCCCTTCTGGCGCATCAGCACATGGGACTATGGGAGGAAGAATACCAAGGAGGGGAAGGAGAGGACGGAATGGCGTGAGAGGAGCTGAAGCGCACCGTTGCAACGGGGAGAGGACGAGACCCGAGGGCTGTAGCCGGCTGCGCCGCACGTGCCAGGCATGCTGGCACCACTAGGCAGGTCCGGCAACGGGCGGGGTCTTCTGTGTACTGCAAAGGAGCTTTCCATGCTAATCACATTTCTAAAACCGGTCCTCTGCTGAATAAGCCTTCAACAACGTGGGCCCATGTCAAAAAACCCTTTCCGGCCTCTCGCGACACGTCTACTTGCAAACCACGTCGCATTCATGCCGGTTTAGAACGAACTTGACTGAACAAGACAATGGGACAACTTCCTACCGTACTCAAGTTGGCTGGCATTCACACCCATGAGGCAAATTAGAAGCCAACTCTGGGCTCCCGCATGCAAGTCGCCGCTCTGCCTCTCCCGTCACGTTCGCTCGCATGCAAACGAGAAGCCAACCCCGAGCACCCGCATTCAAGCCGCGGCTCTGCCTGCCCATGCGCCTACTATTTAAAGCAAGTCGGCGATGCCACAAACCCCTACCCCTCTGAGCCTCATCTCCCTTCGTTCGAGACGTCGATACACCACCCCTTCCCCCTTCATCCACCGTTGTCGCCATGGTCGGGACCCGTCCTGGGTGGTCAAAGAGAATGTCGCCATGACGCCGCCACAAAGTCGCGGTCGAGGTGCACGCGTGGGAATCCCCATGCACGACCCGCATTTCGAAGGGACATCCTCAGGCCTCTCCTCGGTCGAGCTTAGACCAGAAGGACGAGACGATGGAGGAAGCGGAGAAGGAGGAGCAGGCGCTCGCGTCGGTGCATGAGCCATCGTTTGACAGGTTCACCCTACTACAAGCGAAGCAACACTACAACCGGGTGATGGAGGATATGGAGCAGGAGAAACATGCATTGTCGGTGTTCGTGTTGCAGTTACTGTAGGAGGAGCAATGGTACAACATGTAGCTCCTCGAGGAGCATTAGCTGACGGAGTACTAGATCGCAGGGGAGCATGCGTCCGACCAAGCCGTCGGACCATGGTCACGATGGACCCAAGCATCAAGCAACGGGCAGTGCTCGATTCCGTGAGAGGTGGTTGTTCCGCGTGAATAAGGTGGAGTGAAACCGCTTCGAAGAGGCGTTGGAGGCGGAGACCAACGACACATCGGACCAGTGTCCGCTTTTTATTTGGTGACTCTGGTTGAACGTTGAAAGAACATGCGGTGCCCCCATGTTTGGTTTTGATAATTGATGACAATCTCTATGGACTAATGGTTGTCTTGAGTTATATTTGAAGGATTTGTCCATAGACTTTTCTTGAAGTCCATGTGTTGGTTTCAAGGAGTTTATGAGTTGACCAAGGTGTTATTAAGGAATTATCCAAAGATTGGTCATGTGAGGGTTGAGCTTATTGCAAGCATGTCTTGACGAAGAAGATTGTGTGATCATTCATGTTTACCTTCAAGACATCATCCAAATGAAGAGAGTTGGAAAGATTCAAGGTTGATCAAGACTAAGTCAAGAGTGAATCAAGTTGATCAACTCACAAAGTGTAGAAGATGTACTGAGAGGGATCAAGTGATCCCATGGTATGGTAAGCATTGTCCATTGCACTTTGCGTACTAACCCATGGTCTATGTGAGAGTTCTATGTGGGATTAGGTACGTGTCCATGGGCTTGCGTCAAGAGGAAGATATCATACAACCCATGGAAAGGATGACATCAAGTGGTGATCGTCATCAAGATTGCCGTGTGCAAGTTCAAGTGGAGCATCACGAAGAGATCAAGTGCTTGAATCTTGCCATCCATTCTGGTGTCAATGGACTTGTGAAGATGTGCCGAAGAGTGGTGTAAGTGCATCTAGTGCCCCTTTGTTGGGAACATAACTATTTGTGTAAGCCGCCCAGGAGGGGCCGGGTTACGCAAAGAGGACTCACTAGAAGGAAGCCCAAGACCAAACATGAAGATGGCGGTTCAATAAAGGGCTTAAAGCCCACATGCGACTTAAGGCCCGTTGTAGTAAACCGCCATAATGGCATGACTTGTATCATAAGGTAGATTTAACTAGTTGCCGAGCTAGACACTGTTTATAAGCCGGCCGGGACTCCGTAAGCCACAGGGCGTCAACCCGTGTATATAAGGGGACGACCTGCTGGCGACTTAGGGCAAGAAACAACTCATCGAGAGCCGGGCATAGTGTATCTCGCTCCCTGGTCATCGAAACATCAATACCAACTCCACTAGACGTAGGCCTTACCTTCACCGTAAGGGGCCGAACTAGTATAAACCTCTCGTGTCCCTTGTCCCGATTAACCCCTTCAAGCTTCCTAGTTGCGATGGCTCCACAACTAAGTCCTTTCACGAGGACATCTGACGTGACAATACCACGACACTTGGCGCCCACCGTGGGGCCAGCGCACGGTGGATTTGAGTTCTTGAAGGGCAACTTCGAAGGGCTCAAGGGATACGTAGTGGGCCGGATGACCAAGAGTCGTCGCGGCAAGATCTACATCGACGATGAAGGCTGGGCCCCCGACGCCGGCTCAATTGAGTACGGGTACCGAGTCCCCTTCGGCGGAATCCACGTCTTCATCGGCCGGATCGGAGAGCCGGGACCTGAGCCGGACAGCGGCACCGACCTCATCGAGATGGCTCAGCGTGCGAGAAAGACCCGAGCTCAACCCGTCATGAAGCATGCTTTTGTGGGCTGCATCCACGGAGAGGAACTTTCTGAAGGGTCTGAAGACGGTGGTGAGACGGCCATCCTCTCTGTCACGCCCAAGATGCAACCCTATCCTAAAGGAACTCGAAGGTCCCACCAAGGATAGAAGCGCATCTTGAAGACGCTTTTGCAAGGTGGATATCATTACATCAACATTACATAATAGATGGGGATACATACATAAGGCATACAATGCCACATGAATACAACATCACAATACATCAGAGCATCATCCGACTACGGATGGAACACAAACAGAAACTCAAACGACATCCACCCTGCTAGCCCAGGCTGCCGACCTGGAACCTATCCCCTGATCGAAGAAGAAGCAGAAGAAGAACTCAACGCAAGCAAACATCGCTCTCATGTCATGATCATCGCATAAACATGTACCTGCAACTGTTGTTGTAGTAATCTGTGAGCCACGAGGACTCAGCAATCCCATTACCATGGGTATCAAGACTAGCAAAGCTTAAAGGGAAAGGAAGGGGTAAAGTGGTGAGGCTGCAGCAGCGCTAAGCATGATATGGTGGCTAACATACGCAAATAAGAGCGAGAAGAGAGCAAACAGAACGGTCGTGAAGCTAGCAATGATCAAGAAGTGATCCTGAACTCCTACTTACGTCAAACATAACCCAAAAACCGTGTTCACTTCCCGGACTCCGCCGAAAAGAGACCATCACGGCTACACACGCGGTTGATGCGTTTTAATTCGGATCTAGTGTCAAGTTATCTACAACCGGACATTAACAAATTCCCATCTGCCTATAACCGCAGGCACGGCTTTCGAAAGATTATACCCTACAGGAGTGTCCCAACTTAGCCCATGACAAGCTCTCGCGATCAACGAAGGAATAGACCTTCTCCCAGGAAGACCCGATCAGACTCGGAATCCCGGTTTACAAGACATTTCGACAATGGTAAAACAAGACCAGCAAAGCCGCCCGATGTGCCGACAAATCCCGATAGGAGTCGCACGTACCTCGTTCTCAGGGCACACCGGATGAGCAAGACGACGGGTTGGCATAGACCCTGGTTGCCCAGGGGGCGCCGGACATCGCTCGGTTTGGACCAACACTTAGACAAGCACTGGCCCGGGGGGGCTAAAATAAAGATGACCCTTGGGCTCCGGAAACCCAA